TGCAGTTCGTCACCGGCACCTTCATCGAGAAGTACGACCCCACCATCGAGGATTTCTACCGCAAGGAGATCGAGGTGGACTCGTCCCCCTCGGTGCTGGAGATCCTGGACACGGCGGGCACCGAGCAGTTCGCTTCCATGCGCGACCTCTACATCAAGAACGGGCAGGGCTTCATCCTGGTCTACAGCCTGGTGAACCAGCAGAGCTTCCAGGACATCAAGCCCATGCGGGACCAGATCATCCGGGTGAAGAGGTACGAGAGGGTGCCCATGATCCTGGTGGGCAACAAGGTGGACCTGGATGTGTGAGTGAGTGTGTGAGCTCTTTTGATCTCCCAAGGGGCAAAAGTGTCACTGCCCCGCTGGGAAGCTCCTTTCCCAGCCCTGTTTCCTCATGGAAAGCTGCCGGCCTCGCAGGTACTTCTCAGGGTGCCACCATTGTTGGATCCCACGCACCGCTGGAGAACAATGACCCGCTCACACTTCCCCCACAGAAACCTCTTGGCAATCCCCTTTTATGAAGAAATCACTCCGTGTTAAAAGCAGAACTTCCTCTATGGTTTTTTCCCCCCCTTTTTCCCCTCCCCTTCCTTAAAAGCCATGTTTCTGTGGTTGCTCTCCAAGTGAATTCTTTCTGTCCTGCAGTTGTGACCTGTGAAGTAAACTGCCATTTTCCAGCCCCTCCTCCCAACATTTATTCCTGCCCAGCACAAGCTGGGTGCTCTCACAGTGTAGGTGGGGTCCTGGGGGGGAGAAACAAGCCATGGGTGATCATTTGTGGCTCTGAATTTCATTTCTGCTGCTGCAAACACTCCAAAAAAAAGGAAAAAAAAACAACAAAGGGAATATCTCAGCCAGTAAGTGTTCCAAACTGCCCGTGGAAAGCAGGCATTGTTTTTTGGGGAATATGTGGTTTTAACAGCTCTGTGTGTAGCTCAGGGATCTGCAGCTCCTGCCTTGGCTGCCGTTGCTGAGTTGGGTGGATTCCAGGGGAATCCACACCCCCACTGAAGCAGTTTGCTTCTGCTGAAGGCTAAACTTTATCTGAGCAGAGGCCTCCATGTGTCCTGAGCACAAGGCAGACTTTCTTTGGAAAACAACAGCAGTGATACTGGGGTGCTGCTCCCCTCCTTCTCACTTACTCTGGGGAGGAATCAGCCAGCCCCCACTGGTCAAGGAATGGGCACACAGTAATCCACTCTGTTAATATTTAATTAATCTTGCCTGTCTGTAGCATGTTTGCTCTGAAGCCTGAAGGTGTAAACCACTCTCTGCTGTTCTTTTGCAAAGCTTAATTGCTTTGTCTCAGGACTAGGCAAGGATTTGTTGAACTTAGTACTGATAGGAACTTAAAACACTCAGGGGGCAGAGGAGGCTGACTCAGACTTTCAAGTGTAAACTCTCCCTGTTAGTTCAGGCTTGAATAAATGCATCTCTAGGTAATAAAATCTCTTGACACCATCTAATTTGGTTACTTACGTGTGATTAAATGTGTTCACAATGAATTATTCTAAGCATTCCAGGAGTGAGAAGGCTTTATTTAAATGACCAGCTTTCTCAAGCTGCAAAATAAACACAAGCTTCCTCCGTGGTTGTGCAGTGGCACACGAGGTCGTTAGGCTTGAGACAGTTCTTTCAGAGAGCTGAAATCAACTTTCAAAGCAGCAGTTCTGGATCTTCCTTTGAGCAGGGAAAGTCTCAAGATCTGAAGTCACTTTCTGTTGGGATATGTGCATATGTTTTGTTAAGTGTGTGTGATTTATATCAAATAAAACAATGGCTTTTATTTAAGGACGGGTAGTGAACTTTGTCAGAGTTCTGGGCTGCCAGGAATTTAAGAAGGCTTCTGATGGGTTTTAAATGCTTAGTGGCACGTGAGGGTTATTAAAATGTGGTTATACAGCAATTTCATGTGGTTACTTACCAGTACTAACCAGTTGGATTGTTTGATCAGGACATCAAGCCGATGAGAGACCAGATTGTCCGGGTGAAGAGATACGAGAAGGTTCCTCTGATCCTAGTGGGGAATAAAGTGGATCTGGAGTCGGAGAGGGAGGTCTTATCTGCAGAAGGCAGAGCCCTGGCTCAGGAGTGGGGCTGTCCCTTCATGGAGACATCAGCCAAGAGCAAAACCATGGTGGATGAACTGTTTGCTGAGATCGTCAGGCAAATGAACTATGCCTCCCTGCCTGAGAAGCAGGATCAGTGTTGTACAACTTGCATTGTCCAGTGAGAGAAATCAAGAAAAACCTCAATCATGGCCATACAGAGCAGGTTGGTGGAACAGTCATAACTAACTGAGGTGCAGAACCATGCTGTTTAAGCAAGCAGATAAAGTGTGTGATGGATAATCTGAAGTGAAGTCTAACCTGGAGGTGCCTCCCTCCAAAGGAGGCATCAGCTTGTACATTTGGTTGCAGATGGTTACATGAGTCAAATGGATTTCTTGCATGACTTCAGCAGGGTCAGTCAGGGAATGCTGCATTTACTTGCAGTCATTTTGCAACGAGACAAATTATATGATCTCATCTGCCCCTGTTTTAACTGTCAGGGCTGTATTTGGCACCACATTACCCTGGATAATGTTTTGTCATGTTGCAGTAGGTTTTGTTATTGGTGGTAGTTGGTCTCTGAATTCGTTTCAAGTAATGGGAATTACCTGGGAGTTCAGTGGGATCGTTGGGACCAAGTTTCCTGATAGTTTTGCTGAGAAGACTTGGAACTTGTTTAAAATTAATAAATTCTGTGGTAGAGAAACTGAAGCACGAAGAGTACATTTCTGCCTTATTAGTGGAGTAAATTTAAATGAGAACCAACCTGAGTTGTGAGGAGTGGCTTAAATCCCACAGGTGATAGTTAAGGATGTGTGCAAAGTGCTCTTCAGCTGAACCCTCCAAAGCAGAGAACAGACTATAAAATGGCTTCCCAAGGCACAACTCTTTCCTTTCCCAGTGACTCATAAGAGGTGTGGCAAGGGTGCAGTGTTCAGAGGGGCCTCTGAAGAGCTTCCCCTGTCTGGGACATTGCTTTGAGTTTTATTTTGTTGGCCCTGCCTACACGTGGTGATATTTTCCAGCACCTTTTTCACCCTAGTGTGTACGTGGATCTGCTCGTCCCCTGCAGGCAGCAGCACTGTCACTGCTCTGCAAGGTGGTTCTGGGCTCTCCCTGCTCTTGTTTTTCTTCATAGCCTTTGCAGGTCTTGTTTCACCATGAGTTTGAACCCAAGTTACTGAAAAGGGCTCTTCTACATCATTGGCACTCTCTAAGTGCAGCCAGCTGGTTCATCAGACCTTCAGCTGTTGGACCTGTCTTGGCAAACAATGCAGTGAGATCTCTGAGGCCAAGTGCAAGGATAACAAGAGATCATGAAAATTCAGGGGAAAGAACTGCCCCTCTTGACAGCTGCCCTGGTTGAGGCTCAGGATCTGACTGCCATGCTGGGAGCTCTTGCCTGAGTCAAAGGAGCTGCTTCTGTCTGAGTGAGGAGAGGGGAAAATAGGTTATTAGTGGAGGCTTTGAACTGTGTGTCCTCTTTAATCTTGAGTGGAAGGTCAGAGAGTGAAGTCTCAAAGTGTGTCTTTGAGATGGTTATCAGGTGCTTTGTGAATGTAAAAATTTAGGTATTAATGACCCTAGCACTGTCATTCTGGAGATAACACACCATGTTTTGATCTCCAGCTCTGTGAAATGAGGCAAGGATGGTGTCACCCTCTGAGAGGGGTGTGTAAGTCCCAGATTTGCTTGCTGGAAGATGAGCAAACTGCTTGTATGGGAGCAGAGAAAAATACAGATCCTTGTACACTAATCCCTAACACCTGCAGAGCCTTATGGGGGGATAGGAAGGAGATGAAAGGAAGTGCTGCTTTTTTAATGAAAAGCTTGCAAGTTTAGTATCCTGGGTTCCTTATAGTAATGCAAAGTTTCAGCTGGTTCTAAGGCAGCTTAGCAAGTAAGAGCATCTGGACTTAAAGTATCATGCCCAAGGTTACAGCAGTGCCCTGGGTTATTTTGGTTTTGTGCAGGTTGCTGTCTTCACCTCTGACAAAATCAGGACCTTTATCCATGCAATTTATACTTCCAGAATTGGTTACCTCTAAGGAAAGTAGCTTGGCTGGTTCTGCATTTAGCATTAAATGCCAAGTTTCATTTCAAAGGTGAAATTGAGGTCTAGAGCAGGGCTGCATGTTCTTCCTTTGAATCCTAACTTAGGCCTAGATTTTTTGAGTTTCCTAAGCAAGCTCTTTTTTCAGAAGTAATATCTCTATTCTTGTGTCTTTGATCTACTGGATCCTCCTTGGCCTGTGTAATACAGATTTCCTCTCCTTTGTTCTGCCAAGCTCACATCAAGCCTCCAGCAGCAAAATACTTCCTTGCTTCTGGGAGGTGCTGCTTCTGCCCAGTGTCATCTCATCACCTGTGCCAAACAAGTCTCTGCTTCCTAAGCAGCTTCCTGTTCAGCCCAGATTTCACCAGGTCTGGAACTCCATTACTTATCCTGGTTCTTTGCAGGCTTCACTCCCTTTCATTTGAGCCTCACACTTTTGGGATAGTTCCTTCTTCCTGGCTCCCTCTCTACGTCCTTCTTTTTTCATTAGTAGGTGCAGGGTCTCATTAACTTTATGATAAGCCTTTGCTGCCTGCTAATTTCTGTCTGATGTGCTCTGGTGTTGGAGAGCTGCTGATGGTGTCTTGTGATAGCTGTAATCAGCTCTGCAATTCTCTTTTATCTGTGATCTGGGGAGCAAGTGCTGCTTCTCAAACATCTGCTTTGGTGGTGACCCCTCCCAGGTAAAATGAAACTGAGGAAGTGGCACCAACCTGTGTGTAAGAAGTGGGCTTGAACTAGGGTTCTGTCCTGGCATCATCTTCACCACCTGGTCCCACTTCTGTTCATCACCTCTCTTGTCTGTCTGTGTCCAGGAGGGGTCTTAAGGCTGGATCAGTTAGTTCAGAGTGAAGTTTGTAGAAGTAGTTTGTGTCTCTGCAGTTCTGGTGGAGAAACCAGTGGGAAGGGTGGGGACTCAGTTACATGGTGGTCCTGGTTTTGTATCTGAGGTTGTTTCAGTGTCAGTTTTAACAAGCAGGTCCCACTTACCTCTCTTTGGTACTGATAACTCAATGTACCTGTCAAGTAGGATGGATGTTGTGTAGGTTCTTTACTGACATTTTTGAGTAGCATTTGCTTAGATTACTGTTCCAGTCAGTTGCCTTGGGTGAGATTAAGGATGGAACAAAATTACATAAGCAGGATAACCCACAGTTCCTTTTAAAAATGTGTGTTGTTCTTGCATCCTGTTCCCCCTCCCCTTTCCTGCTTTTGCAGTGGTCTTCTGTCATCTCATTATTGCATTCAGAGATGGGAGGTTTCCAGCAGCTGCTCTCTGGTTCCTTCTCTAGTATTCCTCTTGAATTTTCAGGCTGACAGTGCTTTGTATTTTTAATGTTCTTTAAAATGGCACCTGTTACAGTGCTGGTGCACTAAAGGTTTTCTTGGAGGTACTAATGGGATTGAGATTGGGGTGCAAGACTGATTATGATTAGGGATTCCTGTCCCCTCCATTTGTGAGTAAGTGATATTAGCAAGTGCTGAAGGAAGAGTTTTGTGTTCTAGGGATAAAACTGGAAGTATTCTGGTCTGCATGACTGTGCAACACAGATTTATCCTACTAGATTGTCCAAGATCCCCTCTCTCTGACCTGCTCACAGAATGGACTAGAGAGTGCTACAGACATTTCATGGGCAGGTAAAGCCAGATGAGATACTAGATGGTGCTAATTGTAGTAACTAAGCACAAGTTCAATGGAAAGGTGACAATCCTGAGTTGGAAGTTCCCTAAGCTGCAAATACAGGGATGCTGAAAGAACATGTGGAGGAAAATACCACTACTTGCTTTCTTTGTTCCTACTATCCCCAGCAATTCTTTGCTGGCCACAGCACTGGATGCTGGATTTAGATGAAGTTTTGGGATGGATCTAGCCCTGCTAGGATGAGGAGCTGCACTGTACATTGTTTGCCTCTCTTGTGTTCTAAGCAGAGATAAAACCACTTATCAGTGGGTCTAATCCATCCCCATTAAAAGCCAAGTGTTTGCAGTTTGGACAGTGCAGGGACCCTCCCCATCTCAAACTCAGGGACCAGCAGGAGTGTTAGGGGACAGGTGCTCACCAGACTGGCTGAGAGTCACTGTTGATTGGGAAGCACAGCAGCAAGCAAGCAAACACTGGTCATGTGCCCCTGTCAGCCCAGCAGTACTGCTCCTGGGTGCTGGGGTTGACCAGTTAGGCAAGAAGGGGAACCTTGAGTGCCTCCAGGCACTCTGTTGTGACAAACTGGTAGTTGAGAGCAAATCAGCAGCTGAAAAAAAATGGTGCAGCAGGAAAGGTAAGGTCCTGACTTATAAAGAAGTAATCTCAAGAGTAGAGAAGACTCATCAAAATCCCTGGAAAGCCAAAGTTCAGGCCTCAATGGAGTGCATGCATGTGCAGCTAAAGGACAGGTTTCTACAGACTTGGAGCTTCAGCTGAGGCATTTAGGGTATCTCTGCAGTGAAGTGCAAGCCAGGTGTCAGAAGTACAAAGATACAGTTATTGGTCACACTGATAACACTACTTATATTTGTGTGTTGATTGAGAACATGCAGTGCTGTCCCTGCTGAGGTGAAGTCTGATAAATGCTAAAGGTTTGGTCTTGTTAGTAGCAATTTAGAGGACCTGAATGCAGAGAACTCAGGTGTCAAAGCTGAATTAGTTGGCTCATCTACCTGCTCCAAGAACTTGTTCAGAATGCCATTGCTTGATGTTCCTGGGTGATGTGGTGCCTCCTCACCACCAGTGCAAAGCCTAGTGCATGCATCTCTGTACAAGAGAACTTACATTTCCTGTCTGTTTTAGATCTTTGGAAGCAATTTAGTATCCCCCAGGTTCCAAATTTCATAGCAATCAGTTGTTACCTGCTTGCCTCTTTTGTTACCAGAGTTAGAGGAGCAGAACTTCCAGAATGCCTCTTCCTAAAGCAGTGCTTTGGAGCTCAGGATGGAAAACTAGCTCTTCCCTACTGTGGGAGAAGCTGAGTTCACTTTGAATGTCTAATGAATGTGGCTTTCATTAGTTATTTTGTTTAAATTGCAGATAAAACTCAGAGGAAACTTGCACAGATGCTGCTTTGGAGAACTTTCAGCCCAGGTTGCAGAGCTGAGCCTTGGTAAACCTGTCTGTATTACAGCACATTGCCATACATCTAAGTGCATAAGGTTGGTGGCCTCCAGGATCCACACACCTTACTCAGAATGCTTAGCATGTTTACCATAAGTTTAAAAATCTGTTCTTTATCTATCAGTCCTTTTATAGCTTTCTAAGTTCATATAATGGCTAATATGCAAGAGTTCATTTTTAATATTTTAATTGATTTCTTTAATCAATTTCTGAACTTGTATTTATTAAATACTTAAACTCAGTATTACCTACTCAATGCCTTTTAAAAGAAGAGAGTTTTAATGGAGAATAAATTGAGCCTTAAACAAATGGTTACTTCTGTATATTACCTCGCATCAGTGCTTCTTTCTGTTTGCAAAGTTTTCTCCTACAAATGTGGTTGGTCATTCTTTGAGACTTCGTGTTTACATGTGACAATGTCATGAGAAGATACTGAAGGCACCTCTGTTGCATGGATGTAGTATCCCTTTTCTTGGCAAATGCAGCTGTGATCCTGCCAGTGGTCTGACTTGACTGCAGGGATTACTTGGAATGGGATATTAAGTCTCCAGCTGATGTTTCTTTCCTTGCAGTCGTGGGTTTCTTCAATTCATTTAATCAAAAATGACAATTGTAGCATTGAGAAATGGCAGCACACTTTTCCTTCTGCTGAGTTCCTGAACTTGCTCGTTTACAAATAGCTTCTTTATGCCTTTGAAAAGGGATAATGTATCCTTCAAAATGGGCTGGATGCCTGGTCAGCCAGCTCAGCTTTGCCTGGCACATTGAGACATCTAGTAGACCTCTGCACATGTAAATCTAATGCAAATAAGATCACTTTACATTTTATAGTTCCTAAGATTTGTCTTTCTGAATAATATTTCAAAGCAATATTTGTTAAAGTTTTCTTGCACTGTCACAAATTGCTTTTTAGTTGTTGTTTTTGTTGGGTTTTTTTCCCAATAAGTTTAATATTAGAGACAAGTTGGTGTAACAAGGGGAAAAGCACCAGGTTCCAGTGATACTAACTGCAAGTGTGCTTTAAACAGCCATTGCCTTCCTTATTGTTTACCTGATCAACATTTTCTCTGAATACTTGAAAATTTTAACAATAACACAGGTATAAAGAGCAGAATAAAAATGTACAAAGAACAGATGAGATCTTTTTTTCTTCAGTTTTATTAACACATTGCATACATAAGAGCTTTTTCTAGCAGTGGTTTAAGATGTGTACTTTTTTTTTTTTGCAGAAATTTAATAACTGCAGCTCACCTACTGCACCAAAGTTCTAGGTTTTTAGGAGCCCAGCTTTAGTCATTTGAACATGCTTCTAGAAATGTACATTTTATTTTTTTTTTCCCTGTGATAGCTAAATAACTTTGAGAAAAGCTCCAGTAAAAGCAGTGATGGATATATGAGGTTAAGCAGTTGAAAACTCACCAAATTGTATTGTGGATGATGGCATTTAAACCAATAAAAGATCACCAGAACAGTATCTCAACATTATAATGTGTTTTACTGGTAATACTGCAGGCTGACTTAACAGTGTTAGCAGAAATAAAAGATTCTGAGTCTACATTCAGTGTTGAATTTGAATCCTGAGAAGAAAGAGGACACCAGGTTTTCTGCTTGGGTATCAAAACACCTGATTTTATTTTTCTTTTTTCCTGTGGGGTTACTTGAATTCATTTCCCCCCTCCCCCCCGTTTGTACAAACTTTATAAAACAGGCTGAGGCTAATTAGGTTTGCACTTTAATACCAGAGTTAAACCAAACCTTGTCTTGAAAGTAGATACTTTTTTTTGTTTTTTAAGTGGTGGTTGTTGATCTTTTTTGTAGGTTTTAAGGGAGTAATAGGAAAGAAAAGTAATTCATAAGATCTTAGTTTTCCTTGGTCTGAGAGGGGGGGGAAAAAACTTGGTTAACATGAATCAGTGGTTCATTCCTATGGATAGTTATCAAAGCAGTGTTCATTTTCATTGACCTCAGCAAAAAAAAAATGAAAAAAAATAAAAAAAAATATGAAAAAAAACCTTAAAAAACTTGAACTAGGTTAGAGTGACAGGACTGGGAAAACGAGATGGTTTCTTCAGCACACTTTGGGGGGAAAAAGGGACCAAAAGTTATTTTAGGCTTCCTCAATAGATTGCATGTGAAGTTGCTTATTAGAGGCTAATAATAAATGCAATATGTATTGTCTTTCCTAGGGCATCTGTTTAGGAGTTGTTCAAATCACTGCAGTAGGGCTCTGCAAAGAAAAAGATGTAACCTGACATCCTGTATCTAATGTACTGTATCTTTATCAGTGATAGGTGAAATCTGGAATAACTCAAAAGTGCAAAAATGGAACAATTACCTACAATCCTTTGTAAAAAAAGTTTTTTTTCCAGTAGAATTCATTCTTGTCATTTTGTAAGACAACCCTACAGTCCACCTGTTTGTAACTTTTTTAATAAAATAGATACCTGTATTACCAAACTGGGGTGACTAGTCTGTGTTCTTCTGAAGTGGGCTGAGCTGAGAGGTTGGTTGGTTGGTTTGTTGGGTTTTTTTGAGGTACTGGTTATTCTAAATGTAGTAACCACATCTGAATTGTTTGTGAATGACTTTTTCCAGCTTGGGGAAATGGGGTGTAGAGCTGTGCCCAGACTGGGTGTAAAATTCAGAGTCTCAGGTGCTTGGAGTAGAGAAGAAGGGGAGCAAGGGCTGTGATATTGTCTTCCTATGCAAGGCAGAGGCTGCTCTGTGAGCTGGGGAGCCTGATCAAAGCAGGGATGGTGGCCCTCCTCACAGGCCAGCAGGATGATGCTTTGTGCCAAAGGGGAGCCTGTGTTTGTCTTGTTCCAAGTCTTTAATGTTGTTTTTCTTCCAGGCTTTGGTGTGTGTGAAGATGCCTGGGAGTCCTGACACCATCTCATGGTGTCTCTGCAGCTGCTCTCCATAATCATCCAGAGCTGGCATCTCTCCACCACACCATAGGAAGCACTCTTGGAGCTCTGCCTCAGGGGAAGCAGAGGATTTTTCTATAAAACCTTCCATCTGAGAGTGCCTAAATTATCTTAAAGGCCCAGTAAAAGCCTTGAGTTTACCAAGGTAATGAATGATTGTCAGCTGGGCCCTGTACCAGCAAGTGCATCTTCCTCAGAACTTAGTCCTGGTACTGCCCTTTCTTCCTGTGTTTGTAACTAAAGCCACATGCTAATGTAAAATGTGATTTTAAACTTTAGAAAAACTCACTAAAATGTGATTTAAACTTCAGAAAAAAATCACTACCTTGTCTTCAGCCCTTAGGGATATGTCAATAGGGAAAAGCACCTGATGTCCTCACCACTCCTCCTCCAGCTGAAAGTGTCAGTCTTACCTTCAAGGTAGGTTTTTCTGCTGTTTCTTCTGCCTGCTGACACTTCCTTCACCCACATGGAGCAGTATTTTCTACCTTGAGAGGAAAATGAGAGGAGAAGGGCAGACTGCCCTTGTCAGTGATCTTGGATGAAATGTACACCCCTGAACCTCCTCCCCGGGGAGCTGGGGGTGGAGTGTGGGCAGCTGATAAACTAGGGATGTAACAAGCAGGTTGATGACAGTCTGATTTTTAAAAGAAGTTGTAACTGAGCAATAATATTCCTGACTCCTGGTAGCACTCAGTGTAAGGAAGCAAGCTGCTTCCTGTTCCAACTCAGAGGCTGGGAAGTGAATACAAGTACAGCCAGGGGGTCCCTGGGACTTGACACCACTGGTTTGTTTCAAAGTGGCTGTTCAACATGGTCTGGGTTGGGGATTTTAAGGAAGCACACGAGGTTTGTGGCTAGGGCTGTTACCTTACTTGGTGTTGGGAATTCTACTGTTGCTGTGCAAAGGGCAGAGATTTAACCTGGGCTATCTGTTTTGGGGGCTGTATAGACAGGGTTTCATAGGCAGGTTTTTGGTGTAACATTTCCTGCTTTTATAAACATGCAGAGGCCCTGCAGAAAGCCCCTCTGTGCAGCCACAGGACAGGCACATCCACCCTGGTGTGTTGGGAGAGCAGGAACTTACCTGGCACAGACTGGGGGACTCTTCTCCCCCAGGTAGCAGGGGTGACATGGAAATGAATCTCTCATGAGGGTGGAGCTGACCTTGCAGCTGGGTGTGAGCTACAAACCCCACAGTGGGGACAGCCCCAGGAGGGAAGTGCACCCCAGACCCTGCGTGGGTGGGTAGGGGGTGAAGTGCCTGCCACACCTCCTGGGGAGCACCTGCTGGTGTCTGCCCTCAGAGGCTGGGCTGTAATTACAGTTGGAAGCCAGGTGGAAGTGTCTAGTCTTAATTAAAATGAGATACGGGTTCTGAAACAATGTACATTGACTGGTTGAAGTTCCCTCTGCTGGGAAGTGGCAGTTCTGGGAAGCTTGGTTTGCTGCTGGGAGCTCCAGTGTTGGGTGAGTTGCATCTCAGCAGCTGGAGGAAGTGAGCATGGAGCTGCTGTGGCTGTGGGCAGGCTCTGTGCAGAGGTGAGGTGGCCCTGTGCTCTGGGAAAGCAAAATAATGTGGCTTTTGCCTTAGTTTTTATGTAGCCACTTTTCTCTCTGCCTGGTCCATAATGCTGTGGGGAGCAGAGAGACTTTCAGCTGCGAATCAGCATCAGCAAGAGCCAGTTCAAGGGTGATGTCTGACCTGTAGTGGGTTGTTAGCTCTGCTGAGGGCAGCATTGAGCTTAGGACAGCCTGGCTGCAGCCGTGCAGACCGATTACAAGCTTGCAGGGGATGAAATGTGGTGGTCTCTTTAGAAACGGTGTATTTAGCATGGAATCAACTTCTGGCCTCTCTCTGGTGCTCTCTTTCAAAGCCGAGGTTGTCTTCAGGTCCCTTCAAAAAGCCTGGTGCAAGAATTGCAGTCACTGCAATAATTGATGGGGAAGAGTCTCTTGGTGTGGCAGGAACCTGCAGAACATTCACTCATGGGCAGGCTTTGCTGTTTATGTTTGGTTTGTGATGTGTCCATGCTCTGGTGTTCTGACTGTGTTGTGACAACCTTCTAACAGTGACTTCCTTCCTCCAGGTGATATTCCCAGTGATTAGGATTGTGTGGGATTCCAGACTTCTGAGATGCTGCCTCTTACTGGGTCACTTGAATTGTTCTGGTAGCTGTAAAAAAACATAATTGTAGTTGTGGCACTTCCCTGCTGGGGAGATAATGTGGAAGGTGGTGTTGGGATGGGGAGTGCTTGGGCTCACCTGGAATCAGCTGCACCTTCATGTGGAATAAGTTTGGAATTGGAGTTCTTGCATGTGGATAAATAAGAGGGTTAATTGCAAAGTTAATTTCTCAGGTCTATGAAAAGTGTTACACGTTTCTGAGATTCTAATGTAACTGGTTCAGACTTGGGCTTTTTGTGCTTCTACTAAAATGTGTAGTTACTAAACATCTGCAGCTCAGTGAACCAGTCAGCTTTCTGAGAAATTTCTGGCACTTCAAGTGAATTGTCCTTTTTTCCTGCCTCTGGGCTATTTCATCTGTTTAGGAGAAACCTTAGGAGATCTGCCCTGACATTACATTTAAATTATCTGATCAGTGCAGGAAAGACAAAATATATTTGCTGTTTGTGACAATCATTTGCATTTGCTTCCAGCAAAGCTGCCTTCCATAGTGCCTGGGAAGCTTCTACCCAGCATCTGCAACCTGTAGCAGGAAGGGGAGCCACCCTGGCCATCCATGCACCATCGAGGTGGTACCTGGGGTACCACGAACGGGAATGGTCACCAGCGCATCCATGCACCATCGAGGTGGTACCTGGGGTGCTCATCCCCACAAACGGGAATGGTCACCAGCATGTGGCGTTGGGCACAAGATCCACGAGAGGGAGCCTGGAAGCAAGGATCTGGTTCCTCCTAGAAACAGCTCTCAGATGGGGGTTGTGCTTCCCTCCCTGGGAATCATCAGATAGGGCGTCTGCTTGGGTTGAAAACAGAAGAGAAACGGAAATAAATGGCTATTTCAGGGCTCTGGTAGCGTGGTGTGACTTATCTGAACAGGGATTCAAAGACAGTTTTGCATTTACAGTTAATGTATTTGGTGTCTGGAATTGCAATCATATTTGTGCATCGTGGAGGGTAGATGTGGTTCCTGCTCCATTATCACAGGGAGGTAAGAAGAGCCATTTGCCTCAGCTGCTGGAAAGAAACTAAAAATTGAAACACAAGAATAAGATTTGATAGGACTCTGCTTCCTTGAGCATCAGAAACTGTTACTAGGGTGGGTCAGGTGATTGAGTTTTGATTTGGTTTAGTGCTTAAATTCAGCTAAACCTATTTTTTTTCTTATTATTAGCTGGAGAGGAGCTTTTTAGAAGGGCTTGTGGTGAGAGGACAAAAGGTAATGGATTAAAACTGGAAGAGATTCAGGTCAGACATTAGGAAGGAATTCTTTAATACGAGGGTGTTGAGACCCTGGCCCAGGTTGCCCAGAGAAGCTGTGGCTGCCCCACCCCTGGCAGTGTTGAAGGGCAGGTTGGATGGGGCTTGGAGCAACCTGGGCTGGTGGGAGGTGTCCCTGCCCATGCAGGGGGGTTGGAAGTAGGTGATCTTTAAGGTCCCTTCCAACCCCAACCATTCTGTGACACTATGATTATTGCAACTGGGTCCTGCAGCTGGAATAGCATCACGGTTCTCACCACATCAGGGTCACAGTCTGGAACCACACACATGCTTGCAGGTTGTCCTGAACTGGGGTCTGCTGGTTTTGCTGGGGTGCCTGCCCACTGGAGAGCTGCCTGCACTGAAACCCCTGTCCCTCTTGACCCTGTAGATCCTTCCAGCTGGACGTGGGTGCAGATGCCTTGTGTAGCCAATGTCACCATGTCAGCACCTGCCCTGGAACCGGTTGGTGGGAGACTGTCAGATGCTGCAATTCTTCTTTAAGCTTGTCTCAATTCCCAGTCTCATTCCAAGGCTGCTCACCTGCACTTCAGCCAGTGTCCATAAGCAGAAGTTGCTCCCCTCCTGTCCCTCTCCCCCAGTTCTGCAGACAAGTCACTAAGGCTGATGAACACCAGGGTGGCTGTGGAGCTGCTTTCAGTAGGGATTGTGATATTGCACTGCTCCAAGTACAGCTCTCCATGGGCATGGCGGCCACAGGAGACACCACAGCAAGATCTTCTTGGGTAGGATTGGGGCAAACTGGAGGAGACAAAAAAAAAAATGCTGGTGCACAACATCACCTGCTGGTATCAAATCCAAGAGCTGGTCAGAGAAGCCTGATCCTGCAGTTGACAGCAAATGGGCAAACCCCACCTACACCACAACGTGAAAAATCCAGTCCTTTCCATTTTCCCAGCAGGTGCTGGGGAGAAGCTCAGTGATGCCAAACATCAGCCTCAACAGTCCTGACCCAGCAGGTGCTGGGGAGAAGCTCAGTGATGTCAGGACTGTTGAGGCTGATGTTTGGCAAGTGACATGGGATGGCAATGCAAGGGTGTCACTGTTTGCTGTATTCAAGAAATAGAAAAGTTTTGAGGGCAGAGGTTTTCAGAAGGGTGGGACTTGGTGAGTCAGCTGTGGCTGCTGAGGGATGTTCCAGATGTGACTTGTGAAGCTGATGAAAAATACTACTAACTGATAAAGATTTAGAGGCACCAAGGGTGCTGGACCACCCCTACCAGACCTGTGACTGAGTGATCCCTGACTTTCCCAGCCTGCTCCAGTATTTCTCCTGGTTTAAAGGGCTTTCCTAGGACCTAACTCAGATCTTCTTGCAATTGTCAGCAATTTGTTTTCCCTACTTTTTGGGAGCACAGCCTAGATACCCTCCTGGAATGGTCCTGCATGTAGCAGGACACCTTTGTTGTTCTCTCTTTAAGCCCAACTCGGTTCTTTCAGGCTTTGGTTTTTGAAAATAACTTTTTGGGGCATATTCTATAAAAAAAATAAAGCAACTAGTATGTAAGCCAGGACCTCCTCTCAGAGTAAAACAATTCCTTTTGGTGTGGCACCAGGAACGTTGTAGGTGTCCTATTTTGGGAAGAAATGTCCCTGTTTTGCAGTATTGGTGCTGTGCCCTGGATTTATTCACCAGCTGTTGATGTTCCCTCCGTGTGTCCGGTGCTGCTCCTAAGGAATGTTCCTGTGCCTGAGCCTGCTCCCAGATGGCAGGCAAGCAACTGACCCTGCAGCTTGGAGGGTTGTGGCTGTGTGAGATGTGAAGGTGGATCTTCTCCCAGCAGCTCCAGCAGAAGAGGAGGAGGTCTAAGGAAAGTGTATTAGAAGCCACCACGGACTAAAGTCCACCTGGGTGAGTCCCTGTCTCTGGCAGCTGCCAACAGCAGATGTTTTGAGTGTGGAAAGCAGGATGGTGCTTCTCCTTCTCTGCAGTGATCTGGGTGCAGGTTCATGCCTTTTGAACTATGGTAATTAAAATCTCCTGGCAGATCTTTGTTCCGTGGCTTCACCCACCTGTCACCTGCCCCTTTGCTCTGAACCACACGTGAATCTGAGCAGACAAAGCCCAGAGCTGCAGTGAGGCAGGGGAACATGTTACACATCTTGTCTGCTCTCTCAGAGCCTGCTTCTCCCTCAGGAGTGACTCGGGGGACCTAGGGAGGGTTGGGGCATTTACTTGGCCCATCCTCAGGGCCCCAGGTGAGCCCTTCTGGAGGAAAGTGGCTGAACTCAGTGTTTTGGGAGGCTCTGCAGAGCCAGTGACCTGGTGCTTGCTCAGACCCCCCCCCCACTGCTGTTTCTGAGGCCAGCAAAGGAATAAATGAGCAAACCCTAAAGACCACTGTGGAGATCTTCCTTGGGAAAAGGGCAATGGGGCTTGGGAGGAAGGTGACTTCTTTTTTTCTTGCTCTGCTCAGTCCATCCTGGTAAACACCAGGGTGTCGGAGGGGCTGGGGAAGACCCTGATTCAAGGCAAAACCATCCAGCCTCATAGGATCATAGGGGTTCAGATGCACTCTGAGGACTGAAGTCCTTGCCAAGAAAGCTGCTGCAATGCAGGATGGTGGTAGGAGCACCCAGAGCATTCTAACTCGAGGGATGAGCTGGCTGAGCAAAGAGCTCAGCAGCAGTACCTGCTCCAATGTGCTGCTGCTCATACCCTGGGGTACCCCTGCTCCTTGGGGGCCTCCCTGCCTGCTGGGATGCTTGCACTTGCCCTTTACCTTTTCCATACTTTCCTCATCCATTTTTGCACTATTCCTGGTCCCTGCAGATAAGGAGGACATATGTGCCCAGCTGGAGGCCAGTGCTGGCTCAGGCCAGGAGCCAGGATTTCCTCTCCTGGAGCACTTGTGCTCCACATGCTTCCTGCCCTGGCCTGCCCCAAAGTCACCCCCAGAAGAGGGAAGAAGATGGGAGGGAGTCAAATGGGTCTCTGTTGTGCTGAGGCAATGGATCTCTTCTGCTCTCAGCAACAATCCCCATGTCCCAGGTCACACCTCTTGGACTGTCCCTTATTGTTCTGCCCCCCAAAAAGTCCTCGTTTACCTTGTTTGCCTCTGCTGGCTCCATGCTGGCTGCACGAGTGCCCCTGGAGAGGGGCCAGAAGGCCTGATGAGCCCAACACTGTCCCCTTCCTTCATGCCACAGTAGAGAAAAGCAACTCCCTTTCTTCCACTCACAGCTCAGCTGGCCAGTGCTTGGCTTCTGGTAGGGTCCACAGATCCCAGGGTTCGTGCCCCTGGCAGACCAGGAAAGCCTGTAGCAAGGAGCCTTGGCTTCTTCTGGGCTTTGGGAGCTCCTCCACTGAACCCCAGGCATCCTTCCAGTCAGGCCAGTGCTCTTGGTGTCCCTGTGGCAGAGCTGGGAGCAGCTCCCAGCAGTGCTGCTCTTCTCCTCCATGCACAGCACTATTGGACAGCAGGAACATTCAAACCTGCAGAGGGACGGTGCCCTCACCTCCCCCCCCCAGGATGTTTTGTATATGACACAAAAAGCTCAGACTCTGGGCCAAGAGCAGGGCTGGAAATTTGGTCCTTGCAGGCAGTGCCTACACAGCCAGCCCCTCCCAGCCCCTGGCAGCAGCTCAGCTGCTTTGTGGAGCAGATTCACGTGGAAAAGCAGATTTGTTTTAACTTTGAAGCATCTTTTTTTGTTGTTATTGTGGCCAGAAGAAGACTAACAATTTTTCTGTAGATAAAAAGCTCTATGTTTTTTCCTCTCTGCAGCCCAGACAGCAAACTAGCACCCTGACAGGCTCTGTCCTGGCATCCCCAGGAATATTTAGGAAGCATAAGCTGGACAAGTCTGGGGTGACTGACAGTGAATGTTCCAGTGGAAACTGGGAAGGGAGCAAAGAGCAAAATACCTGCAGCACATGATGTTGCTTTTTTGGTTAGCAGGGATGCATTTTCATCTGTCTCAGTCCCATAGGATGGTGCCTGCTTGTGGCTCTTCCCAGCAGCAGGAAGGATCCCCTCTGGCAGGGCAGTGCCTGCCTCTTGCCACCACTCTGTGCATTTCTCATGCCCACGAGCTGCCTCCATCCAAACGCTCAGCAAGGGGGCTCTGCCAGGCAGGGGGGGTCAGACATCATGTCCCCACAGTAAAGGGGGCAGAGAAGTGGTCCAAGTATAAGCCCCAGGTGCCCAGCGTGCTGCAGGGTGGCTGCACCCAGTAAGATGGGCTGAGCCCCTGGGACATTGTGGGGTGGGCAGCTGGGGCTGGTGCTGGGAGGATGCGCTGGTTTCTGGCTGGTCCTGCTGGGTATGGCAGCACAGCCCTGTGCCTGAACCCATCTGCATGGGGCTTTCCTGGTGTGAGGTGGGGACCAGATTATCTCAGAGACTTGTGAGACTTCACTAAACTGCCAAATCAGGGGGCAAGCCAGGAATTAGCAGCAGTTCCTCCTCTGCCTCCCCAGGGAGGACCCCCACCCAGTTTCAAGTTCAGTTGGAAACATTTCCCAGCCTCTGTGATGTGGACCAGCCCATCTGCCCAGCCCATGCACACTGCTCAGCAGACCAGACCTTTCCTGCCCACCTCCTGGAGCAAGAGCAGGACCCTTGGCACAGGCTGAGCACCCAGCTGGTGGTCACCTGGGGTTCCAGTGCACCTGGGCAGGAGCAGAGGAAAGGGATGCTGACTGCTCAGTCACTTCAGCAGGCGAACTGCTCAGGTCTTTTCCCCCTGCCCCACAGTAGAAGGTGTGGGCTTGATTAGCCCTCTCATTGCTCACCACCAACTGTAGCTGCTCTGTGTTTATCTCTTGCAGAGCTGCTGCCCAGCCTGGCCCCTGCTAACACACCCATAACTCACAGAGGAACAATATCCTTCAACACAGTCGTGATATTTAAACCAGGGGAGGTATCAATTGTTGGTTGTTCTTTCGTGTTGGTTTTTTTCACTTGCTTTTTAGGCATTCAGCTCCTTTGCTCCAGCCTCTGCTCCACAGCTCTGACTGCAGCCTCTTCTATCCAGCTCAGAGGGAAATTATGTGTGCAAGAGGAGTCAGGGCTCCCTTCCCTGCACTCTGCTCACAGCACTAGGACTCCTGCTCCTGCCACACGCTCGAGGATGCTGCACCTGAAAGTCCAGTTCCTGGATGACTCCCAGAAGATCTTTGTAGTTGATGTAAGTGGGTATCATATTCTTATTGGCTTGTGGGTTTTTTTGGTGCTAATTTTTGAAGTCATTGCTGCTCTGAAGGGTTGCATGGTCTCTGATAGCTTCTGATAGCTTTGAAAAACAAACAAACAAGCAAAACAAAAATGAAACAAACAAACAAAAAAACCCCAATGAAGCAAAAAAATCCTCAAATCCAGAACAAGAGGTTGTGGTGCTGACTGCTAAATGGCTTTCAGCACTATCATACTTCCTCTCTCCCTTCTTAAGGACATTATTTATAAAGAAGGAGGATTTATCTGGTGTCATCTTTCAGAACTCAGCTAATATGAAGTGACACTCTTGACAAGTGTTGAGTTCTTCTCTCATTTGTCTGGCTGCCAATATAAGCATTCAAAAAGGAAGAAAAATCTGGAAACAGACTAAAATTAGGATATCTAACCAAACTGTCCCTGGAGAGAAACATCTGCATGCAGCCCTCCCAGAGCATTTAGCTGGAATAGGTAACTGGTTTTTGAGAGTAGCTGAGGAAAAAAAAACTCACTGCATCTGTTTTTATCCCTGCATGGCAGTGTCCCACAACCCACTGTCATGAATAACTGGAGTTTAATAGATGCTAGCTTTGAATATTGACTGCTGAAATAGGCTTCAAATGTTATGTTTTAATAACTATATTGTGAGATTCACATGTATCTGTACATAGATAAATGAAACTAGATATGTCTAGACCTGCCTCTTCACAATTACAAGTGTGACTGAGCATTTGCTTTTGGTTAGGGTCTGATATTCACAGTCACTAACTGAATTAGATAATCAAGTAGATCTGTTCTAGCACTTACCTGCATCTCCTCTGGGACCAGAGTCCTTTATAGAAAATTGTGGTTTTTTCAAGTCCTCTTACATTTCTTGGGCAGTCACATCCTCTGGTTTTATAGCACAGCCTGAGAACTACTCGGTCTTACAAGTACTTCTTGGTTTCTTTGTGAGAACAATTTTGCACAAAAGAGGGCTGCAAAGCAATTCCATCCCTTGGCACAGTAAGGAAGGTTTTTTATTTAGTTTTATTAATGTATCCTAGACCTGGAGTCAGCTTAAAAATGAGACCAGCCATTTAAATTTACATTTTTTTCCCATATTGCTTAGATCAAGGCGTAGTGAGAGACAATTGGAAAGATGCTGCTGGTACAATATTGCTGTATTCTTGGGGGTTTTTTTCCATCTCTGCTTTCTTATTTGCCCCAAACACTTGCAGCACTATAGCTCTGCACGACATGTTATTGCAGCAAATAGCTTCCATTAGAGGAACTTCTGGTCATTTCCTTTTTTAGCATGAAATGGTTTTGGAAACCCCTTTCAGGCATTTCATGCATTTGATGCCGGGTGGGAACGATAAATGAGTAGCTGAATGAGCTGAATAGGTGACTTCTCCATTAGAAAAGCACTGCTTTGGGCTAAGTTTGGAGCAGATATTTCAAGCAACTCTTCTTAAACCCTCCCTGACTTCAGAAAGCTCTTTTGAGTGCTTCAGTGTGATGGGAAGGGA